GCTAGGAGCTGCAGGCGATCTAGAGATGTGTCACCTTTCACTGAGCCTAGGACACAGTTGACTGTATGGCTCATCATTGTTTTATTTACTGCCAAAAAAGAAACACACAGGCAGTTAAACTGTGACATGTATCGATTTTAAGATGTATCCTAATTTCAGAGTTGTTCAAATGCCAGAAGAGGTGTGTCTTAGAACTGATGAAACACTGAAGTACCACGTGTCCTTCAGAGCTTAAAGAGCTATAGTCTCACTGGGGGGAAAGCATACTGTGCACACATGCACACACACGTGCACACAGGCATGCTCACATGCATGCGCACACAGGCACGTGCACACACACTAACACCTGGAGGCAGTGCTGCATCAGCTGTGAAAGGAGCTGAAGGGGTTTCAGTGCTTTCAGAGCTGAGACTGGAAGTGGTTGTCATCAGTTGGACCTGGAGGTGCAGATCGGACCAGTGTCATCCAGGTGGGCTTGGGGCACGGGGCGGCCACTGAGAGGAGAGGAGGACTGCAAACACAGGTGTTTGAAAGCAGGTGTGTAAAACGTAGACAGGTGCCCACAATGGAGAAACAGGAAATGCTGAAGTAGGAAAGGTGATCTTATTTCCAGATTAGGGTCATCCCTAAGGAGTTTGGATTTTACTCTTTAAGCAATGGGGAGCCATAGAAGGTTTCAGAGCAAGAGAGGAGCACACCAAGCAGTGTTTTGAGGATACTAATCTGGTGATAACAGGCAGAATATATGAAAGGAATAGACTGTAGGTAGGGGACCTGTTTAAGAGAGTGTCAGAAGCCCAGTAAGCAGCAAAGAGCAGATTTGTGTATGAAATGAAAAGGAAGGGACACAGGGAGACTTGTACAGAAAGACTCACACGCAGGACTTGTGCAGAAAGAGGGATGCACCAAAACTATACCCCAGTGTTTGACTGTGGACAGCTGAAGAGGCATTGCCAGGTTGAGGGGCTCCTGAGGCCCTGTTTGTCCCCACAAGCCTTGATCAATACAAAAGAAAGCCCCGCACTCACCAGGTGACGAGGTGCCCACAGCCACTCCTGGCTGCAACCCGTTACGGCTCCTGGAGTTTTCTGTAACAGTGGTTTTAGAGGTACTGACATTTTTGGTGATACTCTTCTGGGAATGAAAAGTGATTATAATTACCTGAGACATTTCACAAACAGTCTCGTTTGGCTTTGCAACCTCCCTGTGCGGTAAAGCAAAGGCAAGTTTTATTCTACATCGAAAAACCAAATGACCTTTATAACAACCACATAAACCAGAAGCAAACCTGGGAATAAATCCAAGGCTTCCTGATTCAACATTTGTATCTACACATGTGTGTTTGCTCTAGACCCGGCCGCCTTCAATAAAGTGGAACAGAGTACTGTGTAATCACGAGGCACCCTGTAAAGCCCAGGTAGGGACCCAGGAGAGATGGCTTTCTCACAGGTGGGGAATGACCCTTGCTGAGACACCCTGCCCCATGCCTAAGGCTGGGCAAGGTGTGGGCTGGGTGCGCCACGGGCGGCCGGCCTCCAGACATGGCAGTGATGCCTGACTGGGTACAGCCCCAGGTTGGACCCTGTGGTTTTTGGAGGCTTCCAGAAGAAGCACTTCTTCAAGTCAAGGTCCAGGGAAAACATTGTACAGGTAGAGTTTTCTGCTTGTTCTTTAAAGAGCAAGTCCAGTTCCATAGCATCTTGTTAGTGCCAGAGTTAGTGATGGACTTTGTCCATCAGTGAACAAATATATGTTGAGAAACTTTCTATCTTCTAGAGCCCAGGCCGTGGTTGAGGAGGCAGAGATGCCATAGAAACAAAGCTGAGTCTGTCCTTATGAAGCACGTTCCAGTAGAGGGCAAGCAGCTGAAGTGAGTAATGAGTAAAGACAGTTCCAGACGCAGCCAGGGGCTATGCAGAGGACAGAGCCGCAATGCGGCACAGAGGGGCTGCTTCCCCACGAGGGCAGGCAGGGCCTCCCTGAAGGCACCTGAGCGATGAAGCGGAGGGAGCCAGCAGCCACCCACGGGAAGCTTTCAGAGCAAAGCAAAGACCAAATACCCAGGCTCCTAGGTTGGAACTAGCTTAGCCTGGTCAGGGGACAGAGAAGATGAGTATGGGGTGGGGGGTGGGCAGGATGGCAGTCCACGGTGGCCTGGCATCCGTCATAAAGAGAGCATGGCAGCATCAGGAGTGGCCAAGTCAGTTTTCTCTGTAATGCGACCACCCCAGCAGCTGTATGTGGGTGCCCTGTCTGGGAAGGGTAAGAGCCAAAGCTGGGACAGAGGAAGTGGTCCAGGGACGAGAGGATGGTCCAGGAGAGAGAGAACGGTCAGGCGGGGACTGATGGTCCAGGTTAGGGATAATGGTCCAGGGAATGGATGACCATCTAGCAAGGGATGATGTTCCACACAAAGGATCATGGTTCACCTGAGGGCTGATGTGACCTGGATTAAAGTTTTAGCCTTAAAGCTTTAGAGCTATGACAGGACAGGAGAGAATTCGGTTAAGTTTTGGCTGAGGAATTGCTTTGTTTCGATTTACTGAGTAGGAAGAAGACGTGTGAGGAGCAGGCTGAGGGGCATTCAGTAGTTCTCTCGGCTATGTTAAGTTCAAGATGCCTTTTGACACCCAACCGGGGACTGCAAGCAGAAGGTCAGGTAGTCCTGTGTGGCACTCAGGTGTCAGGTTTGGACTGGAGTTGGGTATTTCAGAATCATCAGTGCAGAGATGGTAGATGAAGTCATGGGACTGGCTCAGGTTACTGCATTACTTTCCTGTAGCGGCCTTAACAGAGCGCCACTGACTGGATGGCTTAAACAACAGAACTGTATTCACTCATGGTCTGGAGGCCAGAAAACTGAAATCCAGGTGACATAGGGCCATGTCCCCTCTGCAAGTGCCAGGGACAGTCCTTCCCTGCCTTTTCCAGCTTCTGGTCAGTCTTAGGTGTCACTGGCATTCCTGGGCTTGTGGCTGCATCCCTCCTACTTTCTGCCTCTGTCGCCAAATGAACATTCCCCTGGTGGTCGTCTGTGTCCAAATCTCCGACTCTCTATAAGGATGCCAGCCATTGGATTAGAGCCATTGATTAGAGCCCTACTTCAGTATGACCTCATCCTAACTTGATTGCGTCTGCAAAGATCCTATTACAAATAAGAGCACATTGACAGCTTCTGGGTGGACATGAATTCTGTGCGGACTCCCTTTAGCCCAGTGCAGTGACCGAGGGAGAGAGCGTAGGTAGAGAAGAATCCTAATGAATACAGAACTTCCCGTCCCAATGGTAAGGGGACAAAGAGAGAGGGGAAAAGACGGGGGAGGCCCAGGGCTCACGAGTCAAGAGAGGCGTTGTCCTACTGGAGTGACCAACCATGCCACACACTGCAGAGGGATCGGGGACAGAAGGGTCTTTTGGCTTTGGAATTGTGGAAATAATGGGCCAGTTTAAAAAGACTCTTTCCAGCAAAATGGTAGGACAAAAGCATATGAGATCCGGTTGAAGACGGAGTGCGGACAGTGAAAAAAAGAGCAGGCAGAGACATCTTTTTCTATGAGGGCTGGAAGTGGAGCACAGAGTGGGGTCCGGGCGGTTGAAAAGAGGTGTGAGCTTGCAGCACGCCTGTGTGAAGAGGGCAGGCAGCAGAGCCCAGTGGGGGGTGCCATCGGGTCCGTGGGTGCGTGAGGGACTGGCATTCAGTCCACTTAGGGAGGGGTGGCTTCAGACAGGAGCAGGGACAGGCCAGTGATTGTAAGGCAGGGGCCGCATTTCTGGGCACACGTGCACCGACAGGCATGGGACTGGTGATGGGAAGATGAGTTCTCATGGGACGGCACACATTTCATGGGCCGGTTTTGGAGAGAGCCGGGAAGCAGGGAAGGGATGGCAGGCTGTGAGGTGAAGAGGGGAGAGGGAAGTGGGTACACCAGCGCCCCGGAAGGCGGCTGAACGCCCGCGGCGTGCACGCGGGAGGAGGGGCTCTGCCATCCCTCCCGCCCTGTCCAGCAGCCTGGGCAGGTGGAGGGTGCGGGGTGTCTGGGTTTGATCGTAGCTGGAGTCCTGCCAGAGGGGAAAAGGAGAACAGGAGGTTTGGGGATCCAGAAGGCTTGGCGAGGCGGGAAGGAGGAGTCGGGGGCTGCTGGGAAGTGTAAGCCCCGGGCTGTGGGGTAGGTCTGGCTGGGGAGGAGAGGGGGTGTCGGGAGCACAGGCAGGGGCTGTGGGGGGGCGGTGTGGGCCGCAGTGAGGTTTCCCGTGCGGGGCAGCGCTGGCTGTGACAGAGGCTAGTGTACGGCTGGGAGCGTGTGGGGCCCAGGAGGCAAGGCTGCCGGAGGCGTGAGTGTGGAGGCCAGTGGATTGTGTTCGTGCCAACAAAAATATGGCTTATTTGATCCCCCGCCAGTTTGCCCACCACCAACCCCAAATGGTGGGAAATAAAAGGCAATGGAAAGAAAGCCAGCATTCACTGTCAGGACGTGAGGGGCCAGGAACTCAGAAAGGGGATCTGTAGGGAAAGGAGCCCGAGGCGAGGCCCAGAAACCTAGCGGAGAGCCCTGCACAGAGGCACAGCGGACCCGCCAGCAGCCTCAGACCCGGGGCACACACAGCCAGAGGGCCGGGCTGGCCGCCGTGGGCCCGGGGCCCCTGAGCTCACTTGGAAGAAGGGCCAGCTGGCGTAGACCAGCCCTCCCAAAGCTGAAGTGCCATCCGAGGTGGGACTGAGACCAGGGATGAAGGAGTCAGACATTACCTGGAGAAAATGGTTAACAGAAACATGGGTCCCAATAACCCACTAAGTGTCAAAATAAAACCAGTGAGGATTTGCTCCCAATTTAAAGTTTCTAAGGTCTGCTAACTCTTAATTTTACAGCTGGAGGAGATTTTCTCTGGGTTTATTTGATCGTTAAGTTTGCAACCTAAAAACGCTGTGCTTGTACTCACTGGGTCAGATTTCCTCAGGTGAATCAAACCTTCTCCAAGGGGTGGATTTGTTAAATATTGAACAATAAAGTATTTGTAGAAAGTAGAGGTGAAAGTGACAGACGTGTTTGTCTTGGCAAAGGGGAGTCGCCCGTCACAATTCTATTCCCTTGCCTCCGGGTGACTCTGTCCTTGGGTTTCTTTCCATTGTAATCTTAGGCTTTCCTTGCTGAAGAGCTTAATTCAATGTCTTTTTTTGTTGTTGTTTTTCGGTATTTTTCTCTTTTTTTGCTATTTCTGTGCAATTTCCCAACATATTCCTCAGGTAATAATGGCTACTGAGAAAGAGGAGAAATCGGTGTTTATAGGGTCACAAGGATTGGAAACCCCAGGAAAACACGGTAAGAACCCTTGTGGCCCCATTTTGCAAACCAAGAGACACAGAGATGTCATGGGATTTGCTCTACAAGCTTGGGAAACACAGAGCCGGGAGTCAGACCCGTGTGTGGGCCTCGGGGCCCAGGCCCCTTGCTGTGCAGCTGGCTGCCTCATCCCTGAGCGGGGTGGCACGTGCTGGCACCTTCATCAGCACCCTTGGGAGGAATTAGGAACATTGTGCTTGTCTCCGGCCTTCACATTGGGACTTGTCATTCTCTCCTTTTCTTGTCCAGCAAATATTTATTGAGGACTACTCGGCGCTGGGAACTAGGCTTAGGATTAAGGACCTCGAGGAGGTACTGGTCTAGGGGAGAGGCAGATGGTCAGCAAGTAATGACAGTGCAGTGTGCGCAGAAAGGCCTGTGCTCTGCAGCACCACACCGAGGGCGTCAGGGACAGCGCGGGAAACGTCCGCAGGCCAGACCGGAGAGCCCACTGTCATGCCGGGTGACAGACTGCTAATGGGCCACTCAGAATAACATTTCTGGAGGCATTAAAAGATGTTCACGGTGCTCCGTGGGTGAGAAAGGCAGGCCGTAAAAAGGAACCTAGGGGCTGACAGTAGTTGGTGATGCACCGAAATCCTGTGGGTGGTGACGGAATGTGCTGCTCATCTTCTGCTTGCCCCCCTGCACCTGCTGCACCTTTCTCCGCCTGCTCTGTGCCCTGGAGGCTGACCTGTGTGGGCCCCTTGACCTCTGGCTTCTGGTCAGAGGACCAGTGATTGGATGGAGGGAGGGGAATACAGAGGGAATGTGCCCCTCCAGCTCTTTCCTGTCCAGGTCCCTCCCCAGCGCTCCAGCCCTGAGGGCTCTGGGACCACTGTCCTGTGCGGTTTGGGCCTAGGGAGTCAGGGGCCTCACTGCCATCAGCTCCAGGGCTCTGCCCCATGTCCGGGAGCCTCCCGTCAGCCTGCCTGCACCCTTGTAAATGGGCCCCTGATTAATCTGTCCTCAAATGCCCTCCACTGTGGGTGCCAACTGGTATGTGGGATTGCCAATCATTTTTCTTGTCCTCTCCTGTGTTTTAACAGGCACCTTCTGGGGCATCTGGCCAAATCATAACTCCTCACTTTCTCTGAGAACCATTTCCAAAACTACAAGGGTGGAACCATACCTGACGGGGCCAGACTGCAGACCAAAGACCATCTGCTTTACCCGGAATGCCCAGTCAGGGCTGAGAAAGCCTGGCCAGTCTTGGTGGGAGACAGCCTGTGGACAAAGAACCAAAGGTTAAAGAAGAGGACAGGAGATGGCTCTGGGCCCTAAAGTCCTTGCAGACCCCAGTTCTAGCCACTTCCCAAGAAAGACCTGGCATGAAGTCTGCCTAGGGGGTCCTTGACAACCCAGCACAATAGCCTGATTAGCCCAAGTTCAGCTGGAATTAATTTCTGGTACTTGCAGTCGAGTGACCCCTGAGTAATGCAATCATGAATTATTCTCACAATTAGAAAATAACTACAAAAGATATATTTTTACTTTTTATAACTCTTTATTTAGAAGTAATCGTAGTCACAGGAAGTAGCAAAAATAGCAGAGTCTCCTGTGCTCTTCACCCAGCACCCGCCACGGTGAATCCGCCATAGTTGTAGGACAGGAAATTCACACCGCTGCAGGACTGTAAACTAGACCACAGACACATTCGATTCTCACCACTGTAAAAGCTACATTCGTGTGTGTGTATGTGTGCAGTTCTGTGCAATTATAGCCCAAGAGTAGATTCATATATTTACCACCACGGTCAAGATATAAAACTGTCCCAATATCAACAAAGAATTCCTTTAAGCCGCCTTTTTTTTTGCAGTCACTCCCCACTCCTGGAAACACTCATCTCTTCTCTGTGTCTGTACTATTTTTTGAGCATGTGCCTAATGGAATTATACAGCATGCAAGCTTTAGAGATTGACCTTTTTTCCACTAAGCATAATGCCCCTGAGATCCCACCAACTTGTTGCATATACAGACCAATAGTCCAATCCTTCTTCTCACTGCTGAGTAATATTCCATTATGTTAATGTTCCTGAGTTTGCTCAACCACTCACCTATGAAAGGACATTCGGGTTCTTTCCAGGATTTTGTTATTATGAGTTAAGCTGCTATGAACCTTCATGTATAGGTTTTTGTGTGAACATAAATTTTAATATCTCAAGGGTGAATGCCTCAGAATGACTGCTGGGTCTCATGATAAGTGCATGTTCAGTTTTGTAAGAAACTGCCTAGTATTTTCCAGACTGGCCCTTCTGCATAGGCAAGTTTTTACACCCATTTTGCATTCCCACCAATAATGTACGAGAGATCCAGTTTCTCCTTCCTGTTCTCCTGTGTAGGCCTTCTTGGGGGTTACTTGAATGTTTTTAGAATTCCATTTCATCTCTAGTGCTTTCAAAGATTGAAAGCCAGCCAAGTGGAGATGCAGAACAAGTCCAGGCAGTCAGGCGTGGCGGCCTGGAGAGCGGGATGGGGCGCGGGTGTTGGTATGCACACCGGAGCCCTCGGCGACTAATGGTGTTAAAATCATGGGAAAGATGACACCCCCTAAGGAGAGAGAGGAAGGCTCAGATGGGCCCTGAGTGACCCAAGGAGTCATGTCAGGGAGCCAAGGAAGGTGGCCAGCAAAGGAGCCTGCAAAAGGAGCCCTTCAGCACTTCATCAAAGACAGACTGAGAGTTTTTCAACCAGATTAAAGTCATAGCGCAGACCTACTGTTCTGCCTTCTGCTTTATGGCTTGCTCTATTGAGGCTATTCTTCCTTGTCATCAAATTTGCTTTTGCAACACAGTTTTTAGTAATTCTATCGTTTTTCATTGTATGGCTATATCATGACTTAGGTCTTTGAAAAATTTCTCCTAGAACCTTGTCCAGGATCAAAATCAAAGGTATCGGCCCACATTTTGTGGAAATGCCTTCCACCTTTTGGAACTCAGGACTATGATCGCTTCTCCTCAGTCCTGCTCTTCTGCTGTTTCCCACATTCTTTAAAGAACACCGTACACTCCCGATGTCTTCTATATACTTTCCTAGTCCTCTGGAATACAGTCTTCAAATCTATGGGCTTCTCAGTAAGTCAACATTGACAGGTAGTGACTCTGAAGCATCTTACTACACTGATGGACAGCGACTGCAATGGGGTGGGGGTGGGGGACTTGATAATATGGGTAAATGTAACCACAGTGTGGCTCACGTGAAACCTTCATAAGATTGTACATCAATGATACCTTAATAAAAAAATAAATAAAACTCAATGTTGGTTGAGCCTATTTCTGCACTAGATCCGTGTTATCTATCAACCCTCACAAATTCTTGTGCAATCTTCCAAACAACCTCTGTGCCGGCTTCTATCTTTTCCTTTAGGGATGTGGATGCAGTCTCAGAGGGCGGGGATGGTTTGCTACCATGAAAGCAATTGGGCAGGTTGTGCCCCACGTCTTTCGACTCCAAGTCTAAGGTGTCAGGCAGCCTCCCTCTGGTTGCCGTCGGTTCTGCCCTTCATGGCTTGAAGACCATGACCCCCGCCACAGAACAGAAGCCAAAACAGAGTTCAGCAGTTCTGTGTTTTCATCTGTTAAATTCTGTCATCTGTCCCCGGCAGGGGGCCTCTTCCTTGTGGCTGTTTCTCTGAGAGAAACTAAAATCTATTTGGCAAGTTGATCCAGCAGCATTTGTCAGCCTTACTGCAGGGTGGCTGTTAGCTCTCTTGACACTGGTTTCGCCTCTGCTCCTCTTTCATCATGTCCCATGACCAGTCTAGCAGTAGTTGAGAATGTGGGTTTAAAGTTAGGTGGACCCAAGTTTGAATCTTGCATCTAGCAGTACACCAGCTCTCACTGGCCCCTGAGCAAGTAACTCCGTCCGTTTGTGCCTCCATTATCTGCCTAGGGGGTCCTTGACAACCCAGCACAATAGCCTGATTAGCCCAAGTTCAGCTGGAATTAATTTCTGGTACTTGCAGTCGAGTGACCCCTGAGTAATGCAATCATGAATTATTCTCACAATTAGAAAATAACTACAAAAGATATATTTTTACTTTTTATAACTCTTTGTTTAGAAGTAATCGTAGTCACAGGAAGTAGCAAAAATAGCAGAGTCTCCTGTGCTCTTCACCCAGCACCCGCCACGGTGAATCCGCCATAGTTGTAGGACAGGAAATTCACACCGCTGCAGGACTGTAAACTAGACCACAGACACATTCGATTCTCACCACTGTAAAAGCTACATTCGTGTGTGTGTATGTGTGCAGTTCTGTGCAATTATAGCCCAAGAGTAGATTCATATATTTACCACCACGGTCAAGATATAAAACTGTCCCAATATCAACAAAGAATTCCTTTAAGCCGCCTTTTTTTTTGCAGTCACTCCCCACTCCTGGAAACACTCATCTCTTCTCTGTGTCTGTACTATTTTTTGAGCATGTGCCTAATGGAATTATACAGCATGCAAGCTTTAGAGATTGACCTTTTTTCCACTAAGCATAATGCCCCTGAGATCCCACCAACTTGTTGCATATACAGACCAATAGTCCAATCCTTCTTCTCACTGCTGAGTAATATTCCATTATGTTAATGTTCCTGAGTTTGCTCAACCACTCACCTATGAAAGGACATTCGGGTTCTTTCCAGGATTTTGTTATTATGAGTTAAGCTGCTATGAACCTTCATGTATAGGTTTTTGTGTGAACATAAATTTTAATATCTCAAGGGTGAATGCCTCAGAATGACTGCTGGGTCTCATGATAAGTGCATGTTCAGTTTTGTAAGAAACTGCCTAGTATTTTCCAGACTGGCCCTTCTGCATAGGCAAGTTTTTACACCCATTTTGCATTCCCACCAATAATGTACGAGAGATCCAGTTTCTCCTTCCTGTTCTCCTGTGTAGGCCTTCTTGGGGGTTACTTGAATGTTTTTAGAATTCCATTTCATCTCTAGTGCTTTCAAAGATTGAAAGCCAGCCAAGTGGAGATGCAGAACAAGTCCAGGCAGTCAGGCGTGGCGGCCTGGAGAGCGGGATGGGGCGCGGGTGTTGGTATGCACACCGGAGCCCTCGGCGACTAATGGTGTTAAAATCATGGGAAAGATGACACCCCCTAAGGAGAGAGAGGAAGGCTCAGATGGGCCCTGAGTGACCCAAGGAGTCATGTCAGGGAGCCAAGGAAGGTGGCCAGCAAAGGAGCCTGCAAAAGGAGCCCTTCAGCACTTCATCAAAGACAGACTGAGAGTTTTTCAACCAGATTAAAGTCATAGCGCAGACCTACTGTTCTGCCTTCTGCTTTATGGCTTGCTCTATTGAGGCTATTCTTCCTTGTCATCAAATTTGCTTTTGCAACACAGTTTTTAGTAATTCTATCGTTTTTCATTGTATGGCTATATCATGACTTAGGTCTTTGAAAAATTTCTCCTAGAACCTTGTCCAGGATCAAAATCAAAGGTATCGGCCCACATTTTGTGGAAATGCCTTCCACCTTTTGGAACTCAGGACTATGATCGCTTCTCCTCAGTCCTGCTCTTCTGCTGTTTCCCACATTCTTTAAAGAACACCGTACACTCCCGATGTCTTCTATATACTTTCCTAGTCCTCTGGAATACAGTCTTCAAATCTATGGGCTTCTCAGTAAGTCAACATTGACAGGTAGTGACTCTGAAGCATCTTACTACACTGATGGACAGCGACTGCAATGGGGTGGGGGTGGGGGACTTGATAATATGGGTAAATGTAACCACAGTGTGGCTCACGTGAAACCTTCATAAGATTGTACATCAATGATACCTTAATAAAAAAATAAATAAAACTCAATGTTGGTTGAGCCTATTTCTGCACTAGATCCGTGTTATCTATCAACCCTCACAAATTCTTGTGCAATCTTCCAAACAACCTCTGTGCCGGCTTCTATCTTTTCCTTTAGGGATGTGGATGCAGTCTCAGAGGGCGGGGATGGTTTGCTACCATGAAAGCAATTGGGCAGGTTGTGCCCCACGTCTTTCGACTCCAAGTCTAAGGTGTCAGGCAGCCTCCCTCTGGTTGCCGTCGGTTCTGCCCTTCATGGCTTGAAGACCATGACCCCCGCCACAGAACAGAAGCCAAAACAGAGTTCAGCAGTTCTGTGTTTTCATCTGTTAAATTCTGTCATCTGTCCCCGGCAGGGGGCCTCTTCCTTGTGGCTGTTTCTCTGAGAGAAACTAAAATCTATTTGACAAGTTGATCCAGCATCATTTGTCAGCCTTACTGCAGGGTGGCTGTTAGCTCTCTTGACACTGGTTTCGCCTCTGCTCCTCTTTCATCATGTCCCATGACCAGTCTAGCAGTAGTTGAGAATGTGGGTTTAAAGTTAGGTGGACCCAAGTTTGAATCTTGCATCTAGCAGTACACCAGCTCTCACTGGCCCCTGAGCAAGTAACTCCGTCCGTTTGTGCCTCCATTCCTCAGTGAGCAGCACCCCTCCCTTCTTGTGTCGTGTGGTCCCTCCCCTTCCACATCAGGGCTGGTCCAGTGACCTGCTGTAGGAGCAGAAAGCCGCAGAAGTGACACCACGCCACTCTAGCTCTAGGCCATAGGAAGGTACTGTGGCCCCCTTTGGGGCACTCTGAGCTCCCATGAAAGAAGTCTGGTCACCCACCAGTGTACCCATGTGACGAAGCTACGTGAAAGGCCCATCACCCCAGAATCGCAGCTCAGCTGGCCCTCTAGCTTCCCCACCAAGGCCCCATCCTGGACACTCCAGGTAGGCCAGGCCCGTGGAACGGAACAGCTCGCTGAGTCTAGTCATCTCACACAATTATGACACCCAATTGAATTGAATGTCTGTTTGAAGACACTGAGAGTTGGGATAGATTATACACAGCAATAGGTCCTTGAAACATTATTAAGTATGTATGGGGGGGATGGTGAACTAATATAAGTAAAGTGCTTAGCATGGCACCAAGCACAGGATCGTTTAATATATGGCAGCAACTCTTACTTGACTTTGTGAAGACCATGGTGGGTGCGAACTCCTTTGAGACTAATCTCTTGAACACATGCTTTTGACCAAAAGATCTTAAGCTATCCAAAATGTTGAAGACACAGTGATCTGAATCATCAGTACCATGACTAGGTAGGAGTTACCCTCCATTCATTCTCCACCTGAAGAAGCCAAATTGGCCTCCAGGGAAGTAAGGCCGATCAGGGCTGAACCCACTGCCATGAGGGTCTGTTGGCTGTTGAGACGTCTGCTGCCTCTACTCAGTGCTGAGGTTATTCTGGCTGCATGTCCTGGCATCGGGAGCTTATAGTGTCTGAGCCATGGGAGGATGACCCTTCCTTGTGGGCCAGGCAGTTCTCCGCCGGACCTCGGGAAGACGCAGCTTGCCTTGACATGCAGGGGGCTAGGGGGGAGGGTCTACGCTGCTCAACCTTCCCCAGGCTGCACGTGGCATTCCCACCGACGCTGTCAGGACTGACTGCTCACATCCTGCGGGTCTGGGCAAGACAGGGGTGGAGCTGGGATGCCTGGCCTAGTTCGGCAGGGTTACTCACGGAGTAGTGACAGGTGAGGACCCACCTGCTGCTGTAACAGAGCACCATAGATGAGGTGGCTCATCAACAACAGAAACTGATTTGTCACAGCTCTGCAGGCTGGAAGTTCAAGAGCAGGGCACGGACACATTCAGCCTTTGGTGAGAGCCCGCGTCCTGGTCCATGGACGGCCCTCTTTCCGCTGCGTCCTCACGTGGCACAGAGGCGGAGGAAGCTCTCTGGGGTCTCTTACAAGGCACTGATCCCATGAGGGCTCCACCCTCATGACCGAATCCCAAAAGCCCCACCTCCGCAGGCCATCGCAATGCCGATAAAGTTAGTACCAGGACAAAACTGAAATGTGCATTTAAGAGGAGTCTAACACTGCTGGACTCGGCTTCAACACATAAATTGGCGGGGGTGAGGACGCAAATATTCAGTCTACAGCGCACCCCAAGGAGGGCATTGGAGTACTGATCTCCATGCAGGGACATTGGGTAAGATTTGACCATGAGCCTGGAATGGTCCCTGGCACACAGGGAAAATTCTATTATAGTCATGCTAAATTATTTTATAATTAGTAAGCTGAAACTCTTCTTTCGCAGTGGTAACTCGCAGCTGAAAGCCATTTTCATATG